TGAACCGTGGGATCTGCAGCAGCTACTGCTAACTGGTGAATACCGTTTTACTCCCGCCATCCTAAATTCGAGGTCCTCCGAGAACAATTCAGTCCAAGGCAGGTCCTTTAGATTTCTGTTCTCTTTCATAGGCTCTAACTATATCGGGAGCGGTCTCTAGAAGTTCTGATCTCGTAAACCAGCGGTCATCCTCCGACTCCTGATAAGCAAACTGAACTTTATACTGTTTTTGTGGACGACCTCTGCCTCCTGTTCTGAAGACATCTTCACCTACAATGCCGTCAATGTCATAGCTTCCATCCATATTCGGGGGGATCATGGATCGTCTTGAAGGGAATTGTTGACCTGTGACACACGGCAGCAGTTTTGAAGCATGGAATACAAGGTAGGTGTGGAGGTGAACTGGAATCTCCACGGAGTAGGACGGTCCATCCTCTCTGCCCTTGACTTCTAGAACCGGCCACGATCCTCCGAGTCTATACGCCGACAGTAACCTCTGAGAGATGTTTTCTTCAGGCGCAAACTCTTTTTCCTTGACCCAGACTAAGTCGCCTACGTGAAACTGCGACAGTCGGCGGTGCTTATTAGCTTGCTCTGTGATTCTATGCTGGGCTTTTCTGAGATTCTCAATAACAGTTGCTAATTCTTTCTCGTGTTGTACCGCAAATTCCCTGGTACCGGGCGGTAGTCTGTGAATCAGATCCCGGTTCAGTCCTTTGAACGGTCTGCGCGGTCTAAAGGACTTGTGCAGCTCATTGAGAGTGCAGCAGGTGGATAGATGTACACTGTTGTTGTAGGCACTACCTACCTTAGGTAACATCTCATCCCAGTTGATCTGATCTGGTCTAATGTACATACGCAAAACTTGTTGTAGGATCTTGTTCATCTGTTCTGTCTGGCCGTTGGTCTCTGGATGACGGCCAGATGACATTAACAACTTGGATCCGTACACTCTCACGAGTTCTTGCCAGTTCTGGCTTGTGAAGCGACTATCTCTATAGCTGACTATTGACAATGGGATTCCATTCTCACTAACCCAAAAGTCAAAGAACTTATGTATCACTAAGTTTGTACATGCCTCTGAAGGCAAGGAAACAAAAACTGCGTATTTGCTGAAGCGGTCAACTACGACCATGACTTGGCTCTTACCATGTCTGCTCTTGACTTGGGTGTCCATGGAGTCTATGGACACTGAGTCGCCCGACTGATCTGGAATAGGCAAGGGTCTGAGAAGACCAAGGGGCGCGCACGTAGTAGTCTTGTTACGCTGACATACTTTACAACTGCGGACATGCTCTACGCAATCATTCTTCATTCCGGGCCAGGTATATGCACGCATTAGATTTGCTAATGTATTTTGCCAACCGAAATGTCCCTCCATATTGTGGCATTCCCTTAAGATTAAACTACGAATCTCTTCGTTGTTGGGAACGCACAGGCGGTCAAACACATTAGTCTTCTCAAACAACAACCCATCTGTAGTGCGGTTATCTGGTTCAGTCTCTGGGGCCTCCCTAACTCTCTTTAGGAGGTCACTATAGGTACGGTCCTGTGCATACGCTTGCTTCACTTTCTCCTGCAGGTCTCTCCCTATGTCTAGATAGTGTACTGTGGCTCCAAAGTAGTCTGATCTTCTACTCAGAGCATCCGCAACTACGTTGTACTTGCCCTTCACTGGCTTGAGCTCAAAGTCGAATTGGTCTATCTCTGCGGCCCACCTAGTGAACTTAGGTGTCATCTTGGCCTGAGTCTTTAACCATCTAAGCGTTTCATGGTCCGAATACACTTTGAAGTGCCTCCTAAGCAGGTAGTGCTTCCAATGGTTTAGAGCCTGCCTGAGAGCGTAGAGTTCTCTCTCGTACGTGGAGGTAGGGACCTTCTCACAGGGCATCCTCGCTGACATGAACTCTACGGTTCTATAGCCATTGCCGTCGTCCTGCTATAACACGGCGCCTATCCCATACTCACTCGCGTCCGTGGTGACGACAAATGGCAAAGACGGATCTGCAACTTTGAGGACAGGATATTCTATCAACGCGCGCTTTAACTTCTTGAGCGCAGACGTACAATCCTTGTCCCATTGCCAGATTGCCTCTTTCTTCAGCAATCTGCGCACGGGAGCAGCGATAGTGGAGAAGTTCATTACGAACTTCCTGTAGTAGTTAGCTAGGCCTAGGAACGACCGCAATTCTGTCAATGTGCGGGGCGTTGGTCAATCTCTAATCGTCGCTATCTTATTGTCGTCTGGCTTAATGCCCTCTCCGTCTAATACGTGGCCCAAGTACAAGACTTGTGTCTTGGCCCACTCGCACTTCTTCGCGTTGATCTTGAAGTTAGCCTCTTTGTAGCTTCTCCAAGACCTGCCTCAGATGATCCTGATGCTCCTGGAGGGTCTTACTAAAAATTAGGATGTCACCTAAATAGACTACGACAAACCTATCCAACCAGGGTCTAAACAGATCATTCATGCAACGTTGAAATGTAGCTGGCGCGTTGGTTAGTCCAAAGGGCATCCTTATGATCTCATAATGCCCGTATCTAGTCCCGAACACAGTCTTATACTGATCATCAGGATGAACCTCTATCTGATGATAACCGGACTTCAGATCTATCTTTGTGAAATACTTACAACCTTGCACTCGATCTAAAAGATCGTCTATCCTGGGCAGCGGCTCAGCGTTCTTTACAGTAATCGCATTCAAACCCGTATAGTCTATACACATTCTAAGCTCTCCTTCCTTCTTGGGGACAAACAAAATAGGTGCTCCAAAAGGAGATGAACTGGGCCGGATCCAACCTTTCTCGAGGAGCTCGTCTAACTGCTTACGCAGCTCCTCTAACTCCCTAGGGACATCCTGTAAATTGCTCCCTTAGGAGTTCTACTGCCAGGTTCTATCTCTATCCTGTGCTGGATGGGTCGCGACACTACTCCTGTCGGCGACTCGGTCAAGTCTTTAAACTCTTCCAGCAACTTGGCTATGGTTGGATCCGTATAACTTATCTCTTCCTTGCCCTCAGTGACAGGTCTAACATACACTACAAAGACCTGGTCCTCTAATTGCTCCTTTTTTTCACTAACCGAGCGAACACAGGAACACTGAGACAGCAATGTGCCAAGGTGTAGTCTACACCTGACACGTGAAACAGGCGGGCCGTCTTATTTTCGCCTGACGGACTAGGGAGCCTACACTCATGTTCTCTCAAATGGAGTGTGACCCCTGCTGCCTCTCCCCAATCCATTCCTAACACTACATCAAAAGGAAGGTCATCCTGTACAAAGAGAGTCAGGGAATGGAGAACTTTCTCCCCCTTCCCATCCTTCTCTAGGCGAAAGTACGCCTGGACTCCCTCTTCGTCGTCCTCAACGCGCATTGTGCGGTTGTCTGCGAGGACACTGACTATGGGGTCTGCCAGCTTTTGGACTCAATCCTAACCTCAACTTCTTCAGCGCCCTATGGCTAATATAAGTACGGGTGGCCCCTGAGTCTATAAGGGTCCCTACTCGACTTCTGAAAACCTCTACGTCTATCAAGATTAGCTGTCCTTTACTTTTTTTCTTCATCTTGGCCCAGGCTGACATCCTTTCCTTTAACTCTTCTGCCATACCTGTGAGGGACGTGCCTAAAGAGACGCTAACACAAGCGGTCTCTGGACAGCTGGCTAGGCATGGGCCGACAACCTCTGCCATAGGCTTATGTGGGTTGGGAGTGTCCTGTTTGCGCGCGCTCACTTCTCCACATGGCCTTGAAGTAGGGGCAGTTGTGACCCCTACTGGCGGCTGCCTTTTGACTGCTGGGCAGCCCAACGGGCCTGTCTATACTTAGGACAAAAATTTATTACGTGAGCCGGGTCACCACAGAATACGCACTGACCCATGTTCACGCGTTCCTGCCATAACCCCTGGTCCAACCCCAGATCTTTCCAGGGCCTGCCCTGTGGCAAGCCTAGGTGCCATCCTCCTTGAGATGCCCTTCCACCTCTTCGTTGTGGGGACCAGTTACCCTGGCGATTTGACGGGGGACCTTAACCCCTACCTCCCACTTGGCGGTTTCCTTGGCCGCCAACCCCCTGCGCGCCCGATCCTCGGCCTCCCAAGGCCTGGCCCCTTTGGCCCTGGCCTCCTCCTCTACCTTGCGGCTTCCCTCCAACCGCGACAGCAGCATAAGACCTCCTCTGCCCTACACTACTATCCTCCTCTCCTAGGCCCCACTCGATCTGTTCATATGGGACCTCGTCTATACCACCTTCCTCTAACGTCAGGATCAAGTGATCCTTGCCCTTGACTTGGCCTGAGATGGTACGATCCTTCCACTTCTTCCCCTTCTCTAAGTCCTTATGCCAGAAAGTGGTGACAGGCATAGACTTTGACTCATACAAGACCACCTCCCTACTCAACACATCATTTGTGATCCCGGCCTGTTGAGACTTGTCAAAAAAGTGGCTTCTCAGGGGCTCTAGCATGACACGATAAAACAGCTGGACCAGTTGGGGTTCAGTAACCCCGTCGTCTGGGATGGCTACCAAGTCGTCCATGGTACCCTTGAGTTCCCTTGCACTCCTCCGCTGTCGTGAGTGGATCGTTTGCAGTTTGTCAGAGGCGCGAACGCCTCTCGTTGGGTCAGCAAATCGCTCCTTCAGGAGCTTAAGGAATTGAGGAAGGGGGGTGACTTTTGAGTATGCAACCAGGTTGTTTTCACAACTGGCTGCGCGCGCAAGAGACCATTGCGAAACTGGCTGCTTCATCCTTGAGGGCCTGGAAGGCCACGAGGACTTGTTCCTCTGTTAAGATATGCTGCAAATAAATGTAATTGTTGACACTGGCCTCCCAGTTGTCAAAGTTCTCCTCTTTCTTTCCCCTGTACGCGTCTAGGAACTTGAGTTTGAAAGGCTCTTTACGGGGTCTGCCCTCGCCCTCTACAGCAGCTATAGCCTTGACACCCTCAATGGCGCCCTCGCAATACTTCCCTGCATTCTCCCTCAGTTGCCTGATTTCGCCCCCGATGTGGGTGACGATCTCGCGCGTGAACTCTCTAAACCCTGACCGCATGACCTTCAGGGTAATATCTTGACCCTAATTGGCGTGTCGTGCCTTTAGCCAGGCCTCACTCAACACTTCTAAATATCCTAACATCTTATCCATCTTGGCAGACATATTTGTCTGCGCCTGGACTTCCTGTCTACACGGCCGTACCTTCTCCACCTCTGCGGTCAACCGGTTGGCTTCCTCCCTTCTCTTCTTCTGCTCCCTTTTAAGCCTCAACTTCCATTCCAGCCTTTTCTCCTCCTCGGCCTCTTGACGTTCAAGGGGGTCCTTAATCAGTCCAAGGGTCTTGGCAAACGCCTCTTTCTCTTCTGGCGGCACATACATTTGTGCCTCCTCATCTTCACCCAACAATAAGTTAGCAACCCAGTCACTTATTTTCTTCTCCATCTCTGCGCCTGTGTCTCGCTTCGTGCCACTACTCCCTTCTCTACTCTCAATTTTCATCCTCTCTTTCTCTTCTTCTGCTGCCACTTCTTCTTTAACAACCTTCTTCTTTCTCTCCATCTCCTCCTCTATCTCTTTCATCTTCGCTGCCTGTTCCTCCGCAATCGCCTTCAACTTCGCCTGCTTTTCACGCTCTTTTCTCTCCCTATTTTCTTTCACTAAGGCGGTCATTTTCTCTTGCCGCTCCTTGCTATAGGGGCTCGTGTCTAACCCACTACGGATCTCAACCATGGTGACAAGTGTACAACCGGGTTAGTGGTTCCATACCTCACCACGTAGACTCTGGCCCCTGACTGACAAACCTATAGACTCAATCTGAGAACTCACAGAATCCTGACAAGGATCCTGTCAACTATGGTCTCTAGCCTGGACCTAACTATGGCTGTCACTACGAGACCTGTAGCTGATCTGGAGGCATTTAAGGATATCCCCCGTAACTCCTCAAAAATTCTTTAACGTCGCAGACAGGACGACGTGATCAGCTTGGTCTTGCCTGTGCCACACCGAGCAGCCCGCCGGTCTGTACCGGTCCTTAGGAGGGTTCGTATCCCCCGGGACAGTCGAGTCATCAGACACAGATCCTCAGCCTTACTTGGTCCGGTAGGGGAGTGCTTCAAACAGGCCCTCAACACGTAAAGATTGCCTGGTGTGTCAGCCCTAACTGCCGTTCAGGCCCACTGAGTCCTACCAACCGTTTCCAGCC